GGGGGGGGGGGTGGGTTGGTGTATGTGTGTGTTTTTTTTTGTTTGTTTATTTAGTTATTTTTCTTGTTTTTGTTCTTTTTTGCTTTGGGTTTAGTTTTTTTGGGGGTGTTTTGCTTTTTTGTTTTGGGGGTTGTTTTGGTTTTGTTTGGTGTGGTTTTGGTAGTTTTATTTAGTTTTTATGGTTTTAATAGTTTTTATTTCATTTTTTTAGTTTAGTTTTGTGGCTTTGTTTGGTTTTGTTTTGGGTTCTGTTTATTTATTTATTTTTGTGGTGAACTTTCCCTTTAAGAGATGTTTGTACATCTGCTCTTTCACAGGAGAGGTCAGGCACTGCTGAGGATTGTTCAGAGGATGATGAAGGCTCAGACTTGTGTGCCATTCAGAACACCACCGCTAAACTCCTCAAGCTGAACCGAGCGATCAAAGATCTCCACTCATCTTTGTTGCACTCTCTGAAGGGTACAGCATTGTTTCCACAATAGCATTCATATGAAACACACTTCTCAACTATGACAAATATGTGACATGACTTCATTTTATTAATGTAATACAGGGAGGGGCAGCGACGCTGGCCTTAGTCAGACGATACAGTCTCTGTCCAAGACAATTGATGATGTCATCAACGGCCTTCCATACGAAATGGCTGGAAGACGTTCCGACAGTCTCCAGCTTCCGTGTGAGAGGAACATCATGGCCTCCCGTGATCAAGTGCACTCGGCGCTAAAGGCTTTGACAGCGGCGTTCGATAAAAGCACAGACAGAATACAGACGCTGGACACAGACAGAGAGTTTGTTCAACCAGGTTATGGCAGCAGAAATCGAACTGTTCCTAAAGTTGTGTATTCTCTTTCCTCAGGCATTAGCGCGTGTTCCAGAGATGCCCGCTGGGTGTGATTTGGATAGCCACAGATTTAAGTCATGCACTAGTACTAGTCATGTATATAACTATATTGGGTATAATGGTTAATGCAAAGGTTGACTCACTTTTCATTTTGATATATTTACAGTATGCACTCATTCAGGCCTACAATAGTTTGTTTGCAAATTTTGTACGACCTGTAGATTTAACTGTAGGATTTTAAAGAAGGACGTAATTGTATAACTTATGAAGATGGGTTTCTGTGTATTTTGCAAGTGATCAAGCACCTAAGTCTTTTATAACTCATGCAGAAAATAGTACTTCTAGATATATATTTGCACTTGAAACCTTTGCACAGGCTTGGGCGCACTGGTATTTCACAATATCATTTGCATGGAGACTTGATTTTTTGCATTTGCAGTGGCATTTACTCTGGATCATGTAATTGTTCCACACTAATTTATACTTTCAGTAATAAACACTCACTGGGACAAGAAGTCTGGTGTTCTATTTAAACATACTGCACATTGCATGCCTTTTCTGTATTTCTATATTATATTATCTTGCCCATTTTATTTTTGCCCATTTTTGCTCAAATTTGCCCATTGCCCTCTGACCATCATGGCCTCCTAATCATCCCCATATCTACTGATTGGCTTCATCACTCTCTCTCTCTCCTCTCCACCAATAGTTTGGTGTGTGGTGGGCATTCTGGCGCACTATGGCTGCCGTCGCATCTGCGTTCTACTGTACGGACGTAAATTTACTTTCCCTTCAGCCTGAGGCTTATTCATTTCACTTTTGGTGTGAAAAGGCTTTTATATTTGCCAAAAATATAACTTTTTTATTTTAAAAACAAACAAGCAAGCCCCGTCCAGATTTAAAAAGTAACGTAACACATTACTTTCCATAAAAAGTAACGAAGTAATATAATTAGTTACTTTTTTATGGAGTAACGCAATATTGTAATGCATTACTTTTAAAAGTAACTTTCCCCAACACTGCTTGTGGTTGATGAGGAGATCCCCCCTCACAATGTAAAGCACTTTGAGATGTTCCACATAAAATTCTTCTAGAATGTTACTAACAACATATTTCTGCCTCATCATTTGACTAAAATCCACATTGGATCGCAGTCAGAAGTTATTACAAACACTCAATAGTGATTGATAGTGACATTCTAGCAGAAGTGTTGTATTAATCTCATTAATTGTCATATGTAGCTTGAAGCTAATTGTAATTTCTCCGTTACCCGTATACGATTATATTTTATGTATTTTATCAAATCACATAAGTTTGTAAGAAACTTTAATTTTCCAAAAAGATTTTTAATTATAGTAATATAATGTACCACATGTTGATCAGAGGGATGTGGGTGGGATGTAATGCCAGAGTAAAGTAAAGCCACAAATTACACAACAGTGTTCAGATCATCTTTTTTCCTGACAAAATCAATATAATGCAATATTTCTATCTGCTGAATGTAAGCTTTTCCATATTCCAAGCTTACCTGCTGCACTAGGGACATCACATGCATGTGCGAGTCATGAAAATTATGAAAATAAATCTAGGAATTATTTGATTGTTGGATTTTAAATCAGCGGGGTTGAGGCATCAAAAGTAACTAAGTAACTAAGCTGTTTTAACGTTCGTGCCCCTTGTACAAGCTGGTGCACCAGATCCTTGTGTGGTCCCAGGGCAAACTCCTCTC